AAAAGTCTTTCAATTGAGACATGATCAAGGATGTATTGTGTGTAGCTGATCACTGGTGAACTGCAGCAGGGAAAAGAGTGATTTTTTTTTTTTTTTTCTGTAAATGAGATGGCAGCTAATGCCTTATAACTACTCTGTGCAATATTGCATGGCATTCCCCTTGAGAAAATTGAGTACATGAGAGCACTAAGCTCCTTGCTAACTGAAAGGCTGAGGTTTTTTGAAGACTTTGGTGAGCCTGTCAGCTCCTTCCTGACCATGGTAAGAAGAGACATCCCTTCACAGCCTGTGTTAGAAACCAGATATTCCATGCAGTCACATTTGCAGAGCATAGCTGTGACTGGCATAATGACTACACCATACTTACTGTTGCAATTGTCCCATAATGTGCCATAATGAAGAGTGAAGAGCTGGAGCTGGAGGCAGCCCCGGCCACCCCTCTTTAGGGATCTGCTTAGAAAGGGAAAGTATTCTTTTAGTTCCCATTCAAAGTGTTCCCAGATACCAAACTAAAATAAATCCTCTGCTCTCTGTTCAGTTATGGCTTTTCCTAGATTCATAGCTAATTGTTCTGACCAGCAGTTTTCCTCAAGAAATTGTTATTAAGTCTACCTTACTCTGTTTTTTAAGTCACTTCCTCTCTACTAAGTTGATGGTTCTCCAGCTTGAAAAGGTCTATCCACCTTCTTTGCTTCAGCTCAGCAGCTTCCACTTCTCTCAGAGCAGCAGCAGGGTTAACTCAGTAGCTCTGACAGAGCTATTGGAACAGCAGCATTGTTGTGGGAATAAAGGCATTATAAAAAGAATCATTCTTCAAATAATACAGAGATTATCAGAATGTCTCACTCTATACACCTTTAATTTCTACATGTAGACTGAGAACATTTCCTCGCTCTTCTCTAGGGTTTTTTCACCCCAAAGAGTCTTGAGTATGTAGCACACAGTCCCTCTTCTGAGTCAAGCTGGTTTTGCTATAAAGTTTCTACTCCTCTCCCTGCCACCTTCTTGAACCACATCAAAGTAGGATATTTCCTCTGTGACTGAAGTTTTTGAGGTATAGGAGACTACAATTCCTTTAAGGAATGTACTTCCTCGCCTGACTCATTTAACCAGGAACACAACTGACAGCAGAACCTGAAGGGGATGTATAAATTCATAACACTGATGAACAGTCTGTCAGTGCTGAGGATGCCCACAGCATCTGTCCCTTCACCATCTGATAGACCTTGAATAATAAATGACATTGCAGTTGCCACAGGTGGTCCCATGATGAATATTTTTAGCCTGATTTCTTAGAGGTGTGAGCCTAAGCCACTGACGAGCTGTGCTGTTGTGTGTGTGTTCTCCCTGGGATACCAGCTCTCCTCTGGGAGAGGGCTAGGTGAGGAATCACCACCCAGCACAGGCACCAGCGCTGCTCACTGCTCAGTTGAGCCCTCTCAGCCTCACAGCCTTGCAGGTTCCTCTGCACTGACACCATTCCTTGGGCGTGGGGATCTGTGCCAGCATCCCACCCCTGCACTCTTCCTGTGTGAAATACCCAATGCTCTTTAGCTGCTGCTTCATATTCCTGGAATAGACTGTGGTTAAGGTGACAATAAAAACACGGTAAGAGTTCTTTCTTCTTTTCTTACAAGAAATTGTCGCTGAGATTACAAACACCTTTTGAAGATACTTGCCTAAATATGCCACAGAGAAACAACAGATGATAACACTGCAAAGCAAATGTGTAGTCTGTGTCAAAGCACAAAATGTTCTTTCTTGGACTTTTGGACTGCTTTGCTCCAGAGACTGTAAAGGGTTGGAAGAAGTTCTCTGAAAGATTTTGATGTCCTGATAAATAACCATTTATTGTCTACCAGTAGCTGAGGTAATCAACTTATTAAGCTTATGAACACTACTTTTGGCCTGGTAGAATGTAACTTTACATCGCACTAAGATTTTTCTAATACAAATCAAGAAGCTCACTGAATTTGGTCATTTGTTTGCAGGAGAGCACTTTGTAAACCTGATGTCAGGCAGGCAAATGATGCATCTGGTCTGACAGAGTTCCCTATCTATGAAAAAAGACAGACTACGCTTACAGTTAATCCCATCACCCAAATGAGAAACCTTTAAAGGCAGCCTGTCTTTAGAGGCTTCAACAAGAAATACCTAATTTGCTGAACCTCATCTTCCCACTCAAATAAAACCTATCATTCACATGTGGTGACTCCTTCCTCAGGAGAATTTTTACATGATTCTAATAGGGTGTCATTTAATTAAATAAAACCTACTTAGAAGATAATAAGCAAACTGCAAAAGCAAAGTCAACAGTAGGGGAAATGACAAGGTTCATAAATAAAGTTTACCAGGGCTGTATCTTTCTCTCTCTGCCATGTAATGAGATCAGAACCTCCATATTCTCTTCTGAATCAGAGATTTATGCGTACAAATGGCCTATGTGTCTTCTAGGTGATTCTGTTTTCTATTACCACCACACTTTCCCAAAACCAAAATGGAACAGTTCTAGCTTGTCTGCTAATTAAGTGTAAGCTTAATTTCTTTATTATACAAATTTTAGTGTATTCATTGAATAGAATATATTTTGCTTCCCCTTGCTTCTGAGCTTACCAGATTTTGCTATATTTGTACTGTAATCTTTTCCACTCCTCTACAGATGAGAAGTAGAGGCCCAGACTATTGCTTATAAAGAACTTTGTCAAGCATTTTGTGCATCCTCTGGGATTAGAGGAGCTATGAAATTGTATCATTATCATTGCCTGCTGCATTACTGAACCACCAAGCAGGGCCTGAGAGAATATGCATGCATGTTTGTGCAATGACATTTTTTAACCACCCTTTGCCTTTTCATTTCTTTACTTCCTGCATACTAATCCAGCCCTAAAGTATTGCAGGCTGCTGCCCAGAACCAGAATTTCCTTCTCTGTTTCAAATAAGGGTTTTTTCAGGTATTTGAGCTATTTCACCCAAGCCCATTATTTACAGATGGGAGAACTGTTGTTTTTTGCTTTAGACACATTTACAGCTTCTGAAGAGAGAGGCAGACTTGCAGACTGCTGTGAAGTGATTTGGGTTTCAACCTTTGTCTCCACAGCATGCCTTTGAAAAACAGGCCACTTGTAGACATAGAATTCGTCTCTGCAACCACTGAAACGTGCATATAAAGATAAATTGCAACAGCAGAGCCATGACAGAATAGAGACCTTACTTAAAAATATGGGTAGGCCCAGAAGCACTTCATTTTTGACAAATTCAGGTTTTCCACTTTGTTACAGCAAAACATGTTTTAGAGCTAAGTAAGCCCCGAGCTGATGGGAAACTTGTAAGCCTGTTAGGGAGGGAAGTGCACTTGAAAGAACACTGACACTCAGCGGAAGTTCCTGCTTCTTTGTAAGCCCACACCCAAAAAAGTGCTTCTGAATCAAGAGTCTGAAAATGAACGATTGATAAAGCCCTGTCTCAATGTCTGCTGCTGCTCCAGCTCTGCCTCACCAGGGGATTCTCTCCCTGTTGGTCCTGGGGGACTGCACAGAGAGCAGGCACTGAAGGAAAGCTGTCACACTTGCAGCTCCTGACAGGGTGTGACTGTGCTTTTGGACACAGCCCTAAACAAACAGTGTTGTCAAACTTTTCAGTGCTGCAAGGGAAGTCACCATGACGCAGCTTGTCATGCTAGGCTGGGCTAGGCAGGATTAACTCTTCCCAAGGCCAGGCATTTTCCTCTTCCCTGTCGTTCAAATCTGAGCAGAGGGCTCATTTGCCCACTCCTCATCCTACCTTTCCTGTTGCATTAGCTTGGAAACCAGAGAGGCAAAGACTTCGGTGGGTTGACAATTTGTGGTTCTGGAGGGTGTGAGAGGTTTCAAATCCCTCATGCACTTGTGCAAAAGTACAAAGGTTAAAGCAATGTGAACACTGCAAACTGAGGAAACATGGTCCCAACAGGCTGCCAGCTCTGCTGATGTCCTATATATTTCCTGCAGGCTAATGTTGTGCCAGGCTGGAATGTTGTTTTGAAAGATGAAAATAGGGGATTGCTTACATTGTGTCACAAAATGTAATTCTAGAGGGAATTTCATAATTTTGTAAAAAACTTTTGGTTCGTATTTTTAAACTATAATGTAATATGTAGCTTCTGAAAAAACAAGATGTGTAATGCAAATAAGTAGTGTATAATGTTACAGTGGGTAATAGAGACCTTAAATGGAAAAAAAAAAGGAGTTTGGGTATTTTCACACAAACATGAATTTTTGGATGGGTTTGCCTGTTTTTTTCAGGAAGGAAAATTACAATAATTTCCTGCCAATTTACTGCCACAGTTAAGACCATTATTATAGGATACTGCAGTTAGTGTTTTGTGACTTAATAGAGATGCCCACCTACAAATGGGGCAAAATATATATTGTAGATTTTAAAGTGTTGTGTTAGCAATAATGTTTTGCAAATTTGAGGAAAAGCAGAGAAACTGAATTTCAGTAATTTAATTTGCCATTCATTGGTCTTTATTCTTTTTTTGGCTGCAAATGAGACATCCTACTGTGGTGTATGAAAAGAAACAAAGAATATGAGTCATTATTCCTGGTATATAAAAGCAAAATTAATGAAGTTCATGATCTGGACTTTGATCTCAAGCAGCCATTTTTGCTTTAGATAAGTTTTCAAAAGTCTGTTATCATTTTAGGCTAGTGGTAACTAGTACAAAGTGTTTACTTAGCAAGCAGAACCTGTTTCAAGCAATGCTGAGAGCGATTTCTGTTCAGGCACTAACGTACCCTTCAGTATCTCTGGTAAAGAAACAAAAATACAGCATAGCCAAAGACAGGGGTATGTTCTAATAGAGGCCAAATGGAAGCTACTTCTACAAGGAAAGGGCATGTGGAAGACATGATTATTTATTGATAGCAGTGCCCAGTATTTCATCTCTCTGAGTCAAAGATCCTGTATTGATGTGAACTAAATCCAGTGCAATCTTGAAATTAAGGTTTTCTTCTTTCAAGTTTCTTGCAGAAGGATTGTCTGCAAACTGGAAAGTGGAATGGGGAGAAAATAAGATGCAGATCTGTACACAGAACTAAAATTGTGACTTGAGGAAGGGTCACTCTTGTCCAGTGGCTGCATGGAAGCGTCACCATGGATAATGTGAGCAGCATTGTGTCATTCGTACACAGGACGTTGATGTGAGATCAAGGAGCTCTTCCAATACTCAGATTTGGAAGAAACTGGACTTTTCCAGTTAAACATTAACAATTATACAATTCAACACAATTTACCTGGCTAAAACTCCACAAAATTGAAGCACTCATCAATAGGTAATCTCACCAAAGTACCAGGTTCTGAATAACAAGCTGAGTGCTATGAATAAGGAACAAGATGGTTAAATTCTTTCTTCAGCCTCTTGCACTGCTCTCCTTTGACTGATTCTGCCCTGAGACTAGGAAAGGGGGCAACTAAACACCTTTGTTTTCATGTGTCAAGTAGTCACTAAATGCAATTATGTTTCTCCTGTTCATTTAAGATGTACTACTACATCTTAAGATGTACTACTACAGTTTTATCAACAGGTAGGTACTGCCATTGATTTAAGCACTGTTTTATCAATACAATTTTTCTATATTAAATAACAACAGTCTTTGGCAGAACTGGGCAAATGTTCCTCGTTCTTGACAAAGCAGTCATCTCAGATGATGGCTTTAAATTAAGAGGTTAAAATGTTAACAATTCATGAAGTAGAAAGAAGATTGAGAAGGTGCCCTGTTGTGTACTCAGTGTCACTGTGCCTATTGTGGAAAGACAAACCATCTTCTGTATTTGGGGCTTGCCAAAGTATGCAAAAACGAGTCTGGACTGGCTGGAGTTGAAAGGAGGTTTGGGTGGTGTGAATTCCCTTGTTTGGCTCAGCCTTGCAGCACTGAGAACCATTTTTATGTAGAAACAATGAAATGTTCTGCATGGATGTCAGACTAGCAAATCCCCTTGACTAAGACCAGAAATATGTTAAACAACAAGTTTTAAAGGCAGAATTGAACCTAAATAATTTGAAATGTAAGCAACCCAGACAGTATAAAATATATTGTTTTTCAAAGCAGACAAGGTTCCCTGAATTTTTGTTTATTCAGTTCTCTCTGATAACAAAAAGAGTTTTGAATTCAGGAGAAATGCACAGAAACTCTGTGTACGTGTCTGAGAATGAAAAAGTGGAAGTGATTGGGCACTGATTGGTAATAAAGGTGAAAGTCCACCCTTCGTTTTCTCTGCCCAGAGTGGAAGAAAGAACAAAGCAAACAATCAGAATTAAAAGCCAAGTTAATTAAATCCCAAACACCTTTCAGTGTGTTAGAATTAGTAGCACAAGCTAGGAAATGTATTACTAAAAATAGCGTTTGTTCAGCCTCCCTAGGTTTTCTCAGTACTTAGCAAAGAGAGGCAAACACATCCAGAGGGCATTTTGGATCTTAGGAGAGCTGAATTATTTGCTCATATGTACTCAATCTCTTTCCTTTTCTCTCTGTAGATACATATGTGTACACAGACACACAGTCACACACACAAGGACAGATTTATATGTATGTATACACACCTGTGTGAGTATATGTGTTGCACACATTTTTGTGTGCATGTGCTGACAGTCCCCTGCAACCTGCACTCTGAATCCAAGACCGTCATCCACGCTTACCTTGGATAAACCCAATCATGGAAGTTTGACAGAGCAAATTATGATTCTGCTCTTCCACTGGTTTTATGACTATACTGCATAGAGGAGTTTCATCTGTCTTACTCTGATTTACTTCATATTATTAAAGGCTTTGAAAATAAACCATATCAGATAGTATCACACAATCATGGAATCACAGAATAGTGTGATTTAGAAGGGACAAAAAAGGATCATTTTGTAATAATACTTATATGGTTTTGAATAGAACTGGTAGTTAAGTAGTTAACACATGGTTCAGCAAACTAAATATCATACCTGAGAGATATGTCAGGTCACAATCACATCTTAAGCTCATGGAAATGAGCCAATGACCCTAGCCCTCCACAGACCAGTTGAGGGACTGGTCAGAGCCTCCCTTGATCAGCATTTGGGTTTCTCTGCATGTCCTCGTGGGATCATTTTGCCTCAGGTTTTCTTCTGCAATGCCCTTAGAGCAGGCAGATCCCTCCCTTCCAGCCTGGGCTGTCCCCTTGGTTTTCTCTGACCCAGAGGTGCCATTTCAGCTCTGTTTTGAGCATGGTGGAGAAACAAAACCCTGCTGATACCAATGTAAAATGCATGAGCATTACTGAGCTGCACGCTCCCTGCACAGTGCTCAGGGAAGAAGGCTTAACCTCCCACATGCAGGAGAACAGTATTTTGACTCTTGTTTGCAGGTCACTGCAAAGCTTGCGACAGAAAGTAAATATATATATCCTACTCCAGTCACAGACAAGCTTGGGCTGGAGCAGTTCCATCTCAGTCAGATAAACACAAAACATTTTACCTTTTGGTAACAATATGGTTTCATAGTGTGACTGTTATCATTGAGTTTCATCATCTTTTAAGATTACTAAATACAACCAGAGATAAACAGGTAAACTGTGTCTGCAGTCTTTGCCTGTGTAAGAAATACCATGAACATCAGGAGTGCCAGGCTTATCTTACTGCAAATAGCTGTCCAGTTACCTAATGCAGCACACAGGATTTAAGGGAATTCCTTAAATTGTGATGGCTGAGAGTCTTGAGTAAAAAGCTCTGTAGCTGCACACGTTATCCCTATACAAGTGGTTAATATTGCATTAGAGTGATTCCTGTCTTCCCTTGCCTTCTAGCTAAAAATTCAAAGCATGTTGGCTAAAGGAGAGCAACAAATTTTGGGTGGCACACATACCCTTGGAATGTCAGCTCCACATCCTGATCATAGTCCCTAATTTCCATATGGCAGCCAGTGATTTTTAAGCAGCACTGGCCAAGATCAATTCTCTCATCTCTCATGCAAAGGAGACTGCTGGGCCTCAGAGATTATATCCAATCCTGCACTCAGAGTCAACTGAAGAATAAGGAGTAAATATCAGAATGTGGGTATTTCCACTAATGGTAATTGCAGTTCTCCTCATTCTTTTAATGTACTCCAACAGAAGGAGATGGCTCTAGGTTATTAATTGTTTTCTTTGTTTTACTGCATGGTAAGCCTGTATCTGCTGTGGAAATCTATAGAGACCACAACCATTTTCACCCTGGTGTATATAACTTACATTTACACTCTAGTAGCTATGGTTAAATGTTAGAAGAGCCATCACTACTATTACCACTGAGTGGAGCCGGTTACTCCCAGTGTCCACAAACAAAATGGGATTCTAGTAATGGGAAAACAATAGATACAACTTATTTTTCCTGCTTGTATGCTGCCTATTATATGAATATGACCTCATATAAGTTCATATCAATATGAACTTTCAACTCAACTCAGGTTATCTTATCATGCCAAAACTTTGATGCCTGAGGAAAAAAAAGAGCATTTAGCTTGATAAAGATTCTGTTCAAGCATAGAGGTGACCTCTAGCTACAATATAAACAGCCAGGTCACAGACTGGAGTAGATTCTTCTCTGTAACTCCTCAGAAATCAGGAGGTGCTGAAAAAACAGCCAAAACAAACTGCATTTGTTTGTTGCATAGGTTGTAAAGCTCTATGAAGATAAAGGTTTACTGAGCATATCTAAGCTGAGATGGCTTGATGAATACATCATGAGCTGATAGGCAAGTGGCTTAACTCACTAGTGTCACTAGTGAGTTACTTCTCTGCTAACTCCCTTACTCCATAAAGATGGTTTCATGTGTCTGTCTGTCTATTAATGTTTCAAACTGATTGCTGGAGTATTTCAGTTTTTCCAACCTTAGCCCCTTTCACTCTATTGATATTAATTTAGTTTTGCAGCCCATTCCTTGCAGTGTTGGTGAACATTTTTTCTTCTCCCCATCTGGGTGAATGTTTCTAGGAAGTATGGAGACATTTAGTCCCGCACATAAACAGGATCTGACATGCATTGGTGCTCAGTGGCTTTAGTACATCAAATCTACTGGTAGACATGGTGAACTGGACATCTGTTCTGAGATGTCCTAGCAATGCAGCAGAGAGGGGAGGTCATAACAAGCCAAAAAATGCCCCACCCCCCCCAAAAAAAGTGAGCACTCACCAATCATTCTGAGATGGCCTTTCTCGAGCTCTTTCATCCTCCTTTCCTAGCTGTTCATAATCTGCTGTATCACTTATCAGCCCCTCTCAAAACTTGTCTTTCCTCTTGATTTAGACTTCAGTTCTTGATTCTTCCACCCACATCTGTGTTAATTTGCCTCCCTCATGTTGAGCAGAGAGCAGATCAAGGGCTGTCATTCTGCTCAGCTTAATCTCCAAGCAAAAAATGTACAAAAACAACGATTTCAGAAACTCACTGATTAGTCAGCAGAACCACTGTCTTGGCAAAGGCCAGGAGAACACACCTCTGTCACTGCACCCACACCTGACAATGGCAGTCACCTCAAACAGACCCTGGAACCAAGAGACTTCTCAGTCCCCAAGGTAAAATTAGGGTTTTGGCAGCCTCAAAATGTCTGTGCAATGTTCTCAGCAGCGTGTCAAACAGCACCACACAAAAGAGGGCGGCTAAGTTAGAGCTGCACCTGTAGCAGGCTGTGGTGAATGTGCTGTGCTGGGCATCCTTAAGCTTGGTGCCCCAGTGTCACCTCCTCCAACTACATTCTCCACTGAGGAGGTACCATGAATATCCTGGCATATAGCAAATGCTGAAGAATCCTGATAGACCAAGTCCCTGTTTACCTAATGTGGATGATTAGCAATACTACAGTACACTTTGTCGTGTATTCTTTGTTGCAACTGATATCCCCCAGTAGATATGGGCAATGGAGTATTTGGTAAAGCTGCCAAAGGTTTCAGGAAAGAAGCTGAAGAGCCCATTGTATTCAACATAAAAAGCCTTGCAAAAATCCTGGCAAGGTAAGGGATTAAATTGAATCAGGTGTCTTGCCACAGATGTTTCTGAGGCACTGAATGACTGCTCAGTGCACAAACTCTGCTGGCATGGAAAAGTGCACAGCTTTATAGTACAATCAAGCATCAGCATCATCAACCTCTCTCTTTAAAGAACACATTCGGGTTGAATCCTCATGAGAGATTTATGTGCCTTTCTCTTAAATAATGCACAACTTTGTAGCTTGTGCAGTCTCTAGGAAACACTGGCAACCTGCAGTCAGGAAAGGAGAGGGATTCTTTGGAGACAGCTGTTTTCACACATTTTCTGCTCCTGTTCATGTTCCCAGTTCAGCTGTAAGAGAAGCACATACTGTAATTGATATTATATATACATTGCATAGCACACATGTATGCACATGCATATCCTCGCTCTAAAGACGAATTTGTGTGCATGCACACATAATATAATATATTCACACATTTCTTGTCAGGATTAAACTTCTGGAGCAGAGTCTTTGCTGAATTTGTTTCTATCTGCTGTCAATTGTAAAAATAAAAGTGCCGTTCTGCGAAATCATCTGGACACTTGTACCTCATCTATCAGCTCTCCTTTTCAAGTGTCAGGAACTTGACAATTCAATGAACATATTTTCTATAGTTCTTTTATGTATGAATGTATCTCTACATATAAAGTGACAGATCTCCAGTTGATGTATTGATTAATAAACCAATACTGCTCTTCTGATGCCACTGAATCCCTCTTGATTTACATCTGTAGAGCATCTGGTCTGTGATATACTATGATGTACACAAGCCACAATATTATGGTGCAGCATTACTTAACCTTTTAGGTATAACTTAATAAACAGACAGCATGGCAAAAGAGAATAAAAAATGCTGGACACTAAAATAATATTAGTCTAGCTTACTATGAATTCTGTATATGTGCAGCAATGCTTTTTCTTTTAATTTTTTTTTCATTTTACTAGTATTTCTGCCAGTCAATCTAAAGATGATTTATTTACCCTGATCTAAAGCAGAAGTTCAGAGTGAAAAGAATATA